TTTACTCACCAAGTGTTAAAACACATCCTTTCACTCAGGGTCAGCCCCAAATATTTGACTATCGTCAGATATCTGATGCTGACCTCATTCACRTGGACAATCGGTGGAYGAAMCGACGACAATCTGCGCTTAAGCAGYATTACCACCGTTTTTTCCCTCGATATGTAGTTGTCACAGTCTAAAAGAAATTAGTCCGCTTAATTACTTACATTTTTTATAAATTAAATTTTTTTTATTTATTATTGCTATTTGCTTCAATCTTCGCCGATAATTTGTTCAAAAAATATATATTTCACAAAGTAGGAAGTATTTTAAGGATTTTGGATAAAGAAGTGCAGCTGACATAGAACAGTTTACAGACACTTATAACTTAGGCGAGACTTCACTTATAAATTTGGCAACAAACAAATACGAAAGAGCATAAAAAATAAAAACTCTATGAAATGGCAAATAAGTTAAATGGTAGTAATTAATTATAAATATTAAATGTATGTATACAAATACGAACAAATACATTTTCTAAATAATATATTATATAATATAATTATATATATATGTATGTATAAAAGCTTTAAGTTTAGTTGTCAATTTCCAAAACCAACTCTAGTGCTATGTTTATTTCATAAAAAAAGTTGTTGCAATTTTTTTTTGTTTTTTTGTATTTTTTTCAAAGGTAATTCTGCTGTCTCTTATACACATCTAGATGTGTATAAGAGACAGATATATATGTATGTATAAAAGCTTTAAGTTTAGTTGTCAATTTCCAAAACCAACTCTAGTGCTATGTTTATTTCATAAAAAAAGTTGTTGCAATTTTTTTTTGTTTTTTTGTATTTTTTTCAAACAGACCTGGCTTTGATCGAGACGACTTTCCCACCGACTGGCATATTTTCCTTGACGTAAATCGGCCCATACACCGTATTGTCCCATACGGGCGGATTATTGGCACGATCGACTACGTCGATTTGCACCTCGACGGTACGCGACAGCGGCGGGTAGCCTTTGTCCTGCGCCATTGCCTCTAATTTATATGTTTCACGCTGTATGGTACACACACATATACATATACATTTACATATATATATATATATATATATTTGGATTATTGTTACACACACATATAAATTCGTACAGTAGCATATCAGGCGCGTTGTGTGTCACATTGGCATATGATTCAAATCGTGTTTTCAAAAATTGTTTAGCATTCATTTTATCGTTTATGATTTTTTTTTTGAATGAAGCGTCGCAAAAATGTGGTTATGGTTTAACGATTTGATTTTCATTTGTTTTTTTTTTGAAATTATAAAAAAGAGGGCAAAATACAAAAATTATGTATATTTTTTGCATATAAGTTGTTAACTTTAGCAAAGTTGTTGAGTTATTAAGTTGGTAAATTGCTTAAAAAAAGTATACCTTTAACCAAAAAAAAGTATCAAAAGCGCCAACAACCGAACGGATAAATAATGTACATAAGAATTATATGCTAACTTGCAAACAAAAAAATCATATACATGGAATTCCAAACTAAATAAATTTACAAAAAGTTTTGTTAAAAATTAAAATTTCACGCAAAGTGGTGAAAAGCAAAAAACTTTATTGTATGTATAATTTTTTTTACTATATTTTCTAAGGCAGTGCAAATTATTTTCGTTGATTTTCGTTAAAAACAATGCGCTTTGTTTTTGTCTCGATCCTAGCCCATAAAATTTTAACAGCGTAAACAAATGTAAAATTTGTAAATTAGCGAAAAAAAACTAAAAAAAAAAAATTATGAAAAAATAAAAAATTAAAAATTTGCTAATAAACACTAAGCATATATAAGAGCTTAGCCTCAGTTTCTTATGCTAAATACGGCAAACTAAAATCGTAATAAATTATAAGATATAAATACGCTTTTAAAAAATGTTTTGTACACCGTAATACTTGTTTACTARTTATTAGCATATGCATATTGAAGAAAAGAGCGTTTTTGAATTATGGAGAGTTATAATAAAAATAAGTGTAAAAYAAAACTATGTAAAAGAAATAAACACAATACGTTTGTGCATAGTAAGAATATTGCATATTTTGTAAATATTCACTTAAAATTATTCCACTTGTACCAATGAAACTAGAAAACACTAAAATTGCGTACAGAATTTATACAGATCAAAGCATTCAATGGCATTGYTTTTCAACAGTTTTCTTCAAAACAACGTTAATAAACAAATCAGTTACCTGAAGCTTGGTTAGTACAGCCGCAGGCGGCATAAGTRAACCCTAATAACAGCCTAAACATAGTTAAAAGTATGATTATATGCAATTCCTCGATATAAAAGCGCTAAACTCCAGATTCCTAAAACACATAATACCTTTCCGTTAGCTGCTATTAGTTTACCAAACCCAAATATAAACTTCAAGAAATGGTATATTTGTTATACATATGTATGTGTCGTTATTAAATAAAATAATTTTTTTTTCATAAGTGGCGTGTAAATTTTCTGTGTAAGCAATATTCATMAGATGTAACGGCATCACATTATGACTTGGGTTTCGGAGCGTAGCGTGAATTTATTAAATTTCCAATTCGTTTGAGGATATGTGGGAAGCACGTGTCCAATACAAACTGTTTTTTKKTTTTTWATTTTTCTTTTTTCAATTTCTTTGGAGCGAGGAATCAACGTTGAGAGCAGAGAGCAAGGAGAGAGCAGTGAAATTAATATGCATTTAATGCTATTCGTATTTATAATCATCTTTTCTTTATTTCTCTTTTAAGGCAGTGACAAAATTCAAAAATCCATGGTGAACGTAACGCCGCGTTGGTGTTACCGGCTGGCAAGCAKGCCAGTGCTGCCATGCAAAGGTTATATTACACCACAATGACAGTTTTAGACGCTCACCGCACAGCAATGTTTCGAATGGGCAGTGGTGTTTTCGCCTTTGCACACAGCGTACGGCGCTAGCACCAACAAAAATATCCCTGTTAAGGAATTTGTTACAAAAAATCTTTTACGTTCACGCAAAAGCTGCCGTTAGTTGCTTGCAAATATMGGTTAACATTACATTAGAGTATGCAGTTTAAAAGTATGTTAAAGTAAGTGTTACTAAAAGTTAGTATGAAAAGGAAATTTATTGTGTATGGTAGTATATGTTCTGTAAGTAAGTTCGACAAGCTTTTTTCTAACGTAGTRGTTATGTTAAAAATACAGGTAAATATTTGATTTATTTGGTTATTTTTGTTGYAAGTAAGTAGCACTTTGTTAGGTAGTAACTACACATATGTTATGCAGCTTGTCGACGCTTGTGTACAGTTAGAGCGCTATATATATACAAACCTTGCCTTCACCGATGTTACAACCGTACCCACAGTGACATTTTCGCGTATATGTATTGGACCGTATATGCTCTTATCCCATATTGGCGGCTTGTTATTGCGGTCGACTACATCTAATTCAACATCGACATCGGCATAGGATGGTGGCTCACCACGATCCGAGGCGCGCACCCGTAAACGATAACGGTCACGCTATTATGTGTGAGTGTATTGGTTATATTTTACCGTACGTTTAAGTTACATTATGTTAACAGTGTGGTGTCAAAGTGTTGTCGTTGCGTAGAAAGAAAAAATGGGTTTTTGTGATTATGTTATGAAGAATCGTAAAAATTATTTAACAGTCTGTAAGAAATTGGCTTATGAGTTATTTTGTTTAGCAGTATCGCTTGGGTAACAACGGAACTCTATTTTAGTTTAGACCGAATAGTGGTGTTAAATGTATGAAAGAGCTTTCAGCTAGATTAATTCTTTTACACGAAAGTTTTCGGCTAACGCTACTTTTCATTACGTTTAATACGAATACGTTTATTATTTGATGCTTCGTTAGTGTGTGGTGTGTGTTTTTGCTAATTTGATTTTACGATAGACTTGTGGCACAGCAGAGAACATACGATATACGTTCTCTGTTTGTTGTTGGATGCAATCGTTCAAATTTTGAATAGTGAACTGCGTTTAGTTAGTTCGTTGGTTAAATTGTGTATTTCAACAGTCTTCGGCTAATGAAAGTCAGCAAACTGTGTCTACGTTATTTTGGCGTATTTAATTGTATATAATATTATATAAGCATACAAAAAAGAATAAAACCAAAAGTTACAAATTATATTGTACTAATTACATGACAGTAAAACAAAATGAAAATAATGAAAACTTAAATAAAATTAGTTTAATGATTGTTCATCAAGACAATTAGACAACGTTTAGGTTAGTATTATTTTTCGCCAATATTTTGAACTCAATATATAATTATTTGAGAGATGTATATGTATATCAATACCGTTGGGGAATTGCGTCTGAAGAGCAGAGCGTCGATAACTAAGGCGTAATGGGCGATTCGGCGGAGTAAACGTAGCTGAAGGCTGAATGCCGTGAGGCATAATTTTTTGTTCCAACAGTTAATTGTACGACGATCTTGATGGAAGCATGGTAAAGGAAATCAAAACGCGATGGAATGAGCTATCTGGGTGAAAAACTGCAAAAAGGCATGTAGACCGGTAGAACGGAAGTACACAAAACTCCTATTGGCACTCGATAGAAGAGACGGTAGGAAAATGATGGGAATCTGGTGGTGATAAATGCCTACAGGATGGGGCCGACATATCGTGAAGACTGCAGGAATCCTCTATAGCAGGGCACCAGGGAAACAGTGGAACATGTCTTGTGCACTTGTCACGCATTGGCGAGACTACGCTGTAAGCATATGTGGTCGCCAAGGTACGGATATGATACTCTGAAGGAGGTATCGATAGTGAGGCCGCAGAGTCTATTAAAATTCACGTATAACGACTGCTCTTGAACTTAGCAACTGAACCCCATCTGTTATWGCAAAAGACCAAAACTGGTCTATGYGTGGCTTATTGGCCTAACCCTAACCTAATTGWATGAAAAAKTTATCTGAAAAAGAGTTATTATAGTTAGATATATTTTTGGGTTTAAAAGAAAAACAATAATTCAGAATTCCCTTTTCAATATTATGTCGTTAAAATTGGGCAAAATAGATTTAAGTCAGTGATGTTAAAAACTAATTTTGATATTAATTAGATACCTGAAAATCTAGCTTCTTCCTAGTTTTGGGGAATTTAGCAGGCCATTGCCCTATTGGCGTCCRTGCTGTAAAGTTGGGAATCYTTCCAGGCGCCATTTGCAGAAGCTGTATGTAAGAAGCCGAGGTGGAAACAACTCAGCACTGCCTTCTTGACTGTCCCGCGTATGGGAGGTCAAGATTTTAGTACTTGGAAGCTCACTCACCGAAACTCACCGAACTGACTTGAGTGAAAATTAAACTCCTTTGCAAATTTGTATAGCTACAAAAATTTTTCTAATTTAGAATTCCGAATATATATACCTGTTTAGGTATTATAGTTTCAATATGTGCGCCAGCTAATATGGTTCCCTAAAATGAAATAAATCGATATGGATACTCTAGTGATGTGAAAGGTGTTAGGCATATTGCTCAAGAATGTTTGCAAGTATTGGAAGGCTCTGTGCAATCGATTGATTCTGGATGTCGCAGCCGAATTTGCTACTCAGTGACTTWTTATTGTTCTCGGACTTCAGAAAAAGCTCACTGGCACTATTATTAAGGATCATGAAACACTGAGTCTGAGATTTATTTTGAAACTAATTAAGTTTTTTTATCACAAAAGTTTTCACAATGGGTCTCCTAATGGCCTAGGTGCGTCGTTAGACAGCCACTCTACCAACCAATCTACTCTAAAATTTTTATTGAAAAATTGGCAGGTCACCATAATCGATGTATTCCCCTCGATAGGGCACAAGAGACTTTAGATCGCTGTGAAAGCCTCATTTCTTTGTCTTATTAACCTCGATGAGTGCATAATAAAGTCGAACTTTAGAAAATATTATGTGCATTTAATCACATGAAGTTCTCAGTCTCAGACAGACAGTTATTACTCGCAATTTGKATTGATTGCTTTGAATATAGTAAACATGACTTAACAACGACAGATCATTATTATAGAACCAATTGATTGACTAACTGATGCTAATCATMACAAGGCATAAGATATTATTATTAATTATTTCTAGAAGTATAATTATGTCGCAGAAACTCTTCAGCTTCACGAAAGTTTCCATCTAAATTATCACCCAAACGCGCCAATAATTATCGACTACATCTTCTATGCACGAAATTAAGTTTGATGAGATGGATCATTATTTGATTAGCCATATTTAACGGTTTGGTGAGTTACTATGCAACGGAGACTAAGTACAGTTACGACAAGCATAGAAATAGATAAGCATCACCACTTTCGGAACATGAGGTACATTTGTATACGGAAGTGCGATAGCATGTGCGTACATACATTGTACTTACTGGATAGCAACCCTGCATTGAGATGCAGCGCGTAGTAACGCACAATTGTTGTATATTCATAASAGTTTAAACATATGTGAAAGAAATCATTGATAAATGCTTTAGTTATTGAGTTTATTAAATATTCAACAGTAAAAATTAAATAAACAAAAACAACAAACTATAAAATAATGAAACTGAATATAACATCAAAAGGTGCAGTTAACGAAACAGAAAAGTAAACACTACAATTTAACACCCAAAAATCGTTATAAATTTTTATATTTTTTATACATTTTTTTATTTTTGAGATAGGTCTTTTCCCTTACATTTGTACACATGCATTCGCGATATTGAAAAAAATACTTGAACCACAAAAGTTTTGGCTGACCTTCAAAAAAGTTTTGGACCGCCGAACTTTAACTTTCGCGTAATCGAAAAAGTTCAAATAACACCTGAAGTGATAAAAATTGGCAAAAATACGATTTTAGTTGTACAAAAATCCAGTATAACCAAAATGTTAGTTGCTACTTACTAACAAAAAATATGCATTAATCACAAAAACAAGTAAGTAGTACAAAAAATCATTTCAAAAGCAAAAATAAATGTGTCGTTTATATTTTTTTTCTTAGCGAATACGTCTGTTTTGAAATAAGCTGCAATACGATATACGAAAAAATGTCATCGTTCTTGAGCATAATTTTTAAAACAGTTGCCGCAGTTAAGTCTCGAGTGTTTGGTTTTGTTTTGCTAACTGGAGTGTGCTGTTGCAGTGTGGAAAATGTCACTTTTTGTTAAATACATACATATATTAAAAATGTTAAATCTCAACYATTTGTTGGTGTTTGAGACACAAGTGTGTGTCTTCTAATTTATTAGTACCTCAACCTCGCTTTACAAAACGGCCGRCCTAACTTTGCTATAAACTACATACTAAGCACTGCAAGCGCCAAAAAACACCAAAGTTGCCAGTTTTCGCCTATTTTCTTAATTATTCTACTGGGCTACATAACTATGGGGTTTTCAAAAATATTAAAAATCTATTTGTAATGTTGTTATTATAAATTTATCTTTTTTATGTAAATAACGCCGCCACCGATAGCGTGCGCGTATATGGGAAGCTATAAACAAAATTCTAACTTAGAATTTTTTCCTTGCAAAAGCATTCTTTGTTGAAAACTAAAAATCAAGGGGTATGCTGCTCTTTTCAATAAAATTTCTSTGAACTAACCAAAAAGTGAAAGTAAGCTTAAGGTTATTGCACTCATATTCAAAAAATTTAATATCTTTTTTTAACATTTGGCATAACTTGCGCCTTGTATGAGCAGAAAAGGCATTTTGCATTTCTTTTCTGATATGCTTTAAAAAAATTTGCACTGCATATAGTTTCATTCGAATGCATTTTCAATTTGTTTATCTCTTAAAGATATTTATGTGTTATATACTATTAAAATAAAAATCAAATAATATACTTTTACATGAATAACATCGAATAGCGAATTTTCTGTTTGGTGAAAAAACTCAAAATCAGACTTTCAATGGAACATAGGTTGGTGCATAGTAAGAAAAACAACTCAAATAAAAATTGTAATGAAASAAAAGTTACCAATCATTGCAAATTTTGCTTCGAGAATTACTTTAATGTATATGTAGAAAATAATTTTGTCAAACTAAGGCGTTATTAATGACCYATACCACGCTTACGTGGCATCAGTTATGGCATTAAATAATTGAAACTTAAATTCAGCGASCTTGGTTTAAGTTTTTCTTTGGTTTTTGTCGCCTAAATCATGCCAGTTTACGAAATGTTAGTAAAACRATAAAATGAAAAGTTCTTAAAACATAAAAGTACATTTGAAAKAATAAAAATATCTAAATTCATCCGTTTAAATACTTGTTAGTTAAAGCAAAACAAATAGTTTTAATTAAAAGTTAAAATGAAATATTGAAAAATAAGTCAAATGTCAGACTATAAATGTGCATTGGTAAACGAATAACTTACGTCAAGTGGCTTCTTCAGCACGATCCAACCCGACTCTGCTTGTATGTCAAAATATTCCAAATCATTGGGATTAAATGGCGCACTCAAGCTGTACACGATGGCGCCATTGTTATCGGCGTCCTCATCTGACGCGGAAACGCGCAAGATATTTGTGCCAATACTGGCGTCTTGTTTCACATTTTCCACGTATTTCTGTCAATTGAATTTATTTATGAGYAACTTTCCAGCGAAAATTTCATGTGTATTTACCTGTCGATCAAATAATGGTGGATTGTCGTTAACATCGGTGATTTCCACCGTGAACGAGCACACGCCCTCCAAGCTGGGCTCTCCCTGATCGGTTGCTTTGACAGTCACTGACACGAATTTACCGTCGTCACCTTCGCGATCGAACACTTTGTTGGTTGATACTTCGCCGGTTTCTTCGTCGACTGTGAATTTCGTGCCTTTTTGATTCGGCTGTTGCACGATTGAATACTTGACCTGAAGGAAAGCATATTTTAAAAGTTGTAGAACTTAAAATTAATAAAAATAATAATATAATTATAACTGGTATTAACTGCATAATAAGCTAAATTGTACTACAAAGACTGACAACTGTGTGGCATATGAGATCTACTTTAAGTCTATATTTGGTAAAATGTTTAAGCAATTAAAAGTTGAAATTTTCCTCATTAGCTAATTCATTTACAAATATATGCCTACCATATATTAAGGTGGGTTAGAAAACGTATATTTTTTTTTTTTTTTGGCTTAGTGATTAGACATCTCTAAGAAAATATCTTCAAGTATATGCTCTTAACTGGATTGAGAAGTTCCTCTGACTAACAGTTTTCTATTTTTTCTTATTGTCCRATAAAAAATTCATAACTCGCTCCCAACTACTTTAAAAAATAACTTATTTAACATATTCTTAAGAAATTGTGTGTTTCACWTCGCTCTTCTTACCTTACGCTTATTACTCTACTAAAAATTTCCTTCATATTATTTACTCATTAATTGCAAGAGCCTGCTTAGATTTGTATTCACTAATGAGGACATAATTAATTCACTACCAAGTTTCAGAAAAGCATAAAAAATTACAATTAACTTGCTTCTGAAATTGCGGTAATACGTTTTATTCGAATAACAAAAGAGAAAATGTGCTATGACCGCGCTCAAGTGCTCTTCATTTTGGCGGCCAATCATTCACTGAGCTTAATAACCTGGTCAAGTACACTTACGCGCAAATATACTGACTTTCGCCTTCCTCGCTTCTATGGCAGTCTATTGTTATCGCTTGAGTGTTTATAAAATCCTGCGAGTGTACGCTTTGAGTATTTGGTTAGTGGCTCATTCACTCGACCACTAAATTAACGGTGTTGAKTCGAGCCAAGTTGGCTCAGTTCATATTTAATGTTTGACTTTATTAATTGGCTACATAAATTGCAACTACAACAATATACGTTTCACCTTAAAGGAATTTGTATTGTGCCTTGTTTAACTAATAGCTTGMTGTTTTCGAACAGGCGCTTTGCCAAACACAACCAAAATACTACACCCCCATTTTCAGCGTTTTCTTTATTACTGCTTTCTTGTTGTACTACATGAAATCGCGGATATTTTATTAGCATTAATGACAATGTATTTTGAAATGCTCGACACCCGGCTTAAAATTGCATTGATTTCATTCACTACATTTGCTAGTATCTACCATATAMATACCTGTCCATTGACGCCTTTGTCCTCATCGGTGGCGACCACCTTTATCACAGGACTGCCATTGGGAGCACCCTCYTCCACTTTTGGATAGTAAGTGCCGCAATCTTTAAACACAGGCTTATTGTCATTCACGTCGGTTATAAACACCACAACAACAGCGGTGGAGGTGTGTATGGTGTGATCACCATTAACACAACACGAACCATCATCCATAGCSGTCACGTTCAATTCATACTTATCGCGATCCAATGATATGGCCTTATTATGTAACCGTATTACACCGGTTATGTCCTCTATAACGAATTGGCCAGACGATGTGCCACCACCAACAAAACCGAAGCGTACATTATCACCGTCCTTATCGGATGCCACCACAGTGGTGACAAGTGTGTTAGGTCCTGCATTTTCATCCACATTCGGTGTATAGACTTGCTGGGAGAATTTTGGTTCTTCGTCGTTCTTATTTTTCGTGTAGACACGTACAGTGGCAGTGCCAGATTTCGAAGGTTCACCTTTATCTTTTGCTGTCACAATGAATTCATAGTAGGCATTGTTGTTGTCGGCATCGAGTTGTTTATTATTGACAATAATGCCATTCGAATCGACCGCAAAGTGATCATCCGAAACTAGATATTCAATTTCTGCATTTGCRCCCGAGTCAGAGTCCATTGCTTTCACGCGCAGTATACTGGTTCCGAGCGGTATGTCTTCGTCTACGTTGTGCGCTTGGTAATCAGGCAATTCGAACTTCGGCGCATTGTCGTTTACATCGGTTACTCGAATAGTTAACTGTGGGGCGAAAAGAAATAAAAAAATGTAAGTTATACAATATTCAAATTATTCTTTGATCATAAATATGGAAACAATAAATATATCGATATTATAGTAGGCAGMACATGTACAAATAAAGAGACCAAGGGTTGTTAAGTAAGATATTAGATATTGCTGTACTGTATGCTCGAGTATGGATGAACCAATCTTTTACTGGTCTATTGGAAACTTGATTGTTCTAAGATTGGAAAGATCATAATTACTAATTTAGTTATATACAACAGACTATCCTCATTTCTCTTCAATCCATAYACATATGTTTGGGCTTTCCTCACTTAGTAAACAAGCTTCATGTGAAAGAACCCATTAAGGGGTTCTATAGAATTCAATACATAAAAATTTGTAAATAACGTAATCAATTTCTCATTTCTTTCTTCTCTGCTTTTATTATTGTACCATGCTTGTGTGGAAGGTTCAGRTTGGTTGCCATCGAAATCATCCAGCGGTAGACTCAGAAAACGATCAAATTTGTCTAACGGTAGACTCAGTAAAGATGCTTTTTCGACCGAGTCGAACTTTAGAGAAATCGGTGCTAGATGAGTGGAGTGTATTGGGCATGCAAAGCGGTGGTTAGAGTCATGCGGAGACTCAATGCATGTTGGACATATATTTGGTGTGGATAACTTCGAGTCCTTCATCATCTCTGGGTGATGGTTTGTCTTCAAAGTTGCCTTTCACTGGGGTCAAGTCGATGAAGGAACTGATGGTCGAGTCCAGAATCTTTAGCACCAACACGTTAATTCCATCTTGGCTAATTGATTTGGACGATTTAGCCTTATGGATGACACTCTGAACTTCCACATCGGTGAAAGTAAGTAGCGCAGCTGGCGGATAGAACTTCATTGAGCCTTGTCTGTTGAAGGGTGCAGTGCAAACTGCTTACTTAAAAAGTCCGCGCACTTTTTCGGGTTTAMATGCATACGCAGTTGAACATGAATTGAATTTCAACCCGATCGTTAATCTCTACGGATTTTAAAAGACCTTGAGACTAGACCAGAGCTTACTCACACCGGTGAAGAGGTCATAGGGCCTCAAGTAATTTCGTCCGCTAGTATTGATTTACAATTTGCGGAATCTCCAAATTGAGTTCCTTATTCGGTGATCACAGGGATCGGCATGCCGTAAGGTTCTTTCAGCCTGGATGAAGAAAGCGGTAGCAGTTGCGATCACCTTACGAAAATTATGTTCGTCCTTTAGAATGAGTAAAGCGGTAAAGGTGTTTTCGGTAAATTCAGTGAAGCCGACCCAGTTAAATTTATTAAAGTTAATAAAGATGAATTCGATATATGAATACTTAGTTCGAATCGTTTGACCGCTATCTTCAATGCAACCAGTTATATGCGATTTTTTTTTACTAACTTTACACACAAACCGAAAATAAGGACATTGAAACTTACATTTTCTCGACAACATATTTGCTAAGAAATGCATACACGTACCGACAACGTCATACAAATAGTATATATGTTGTAACCCATTTCTTTTTCACTTCACGCTTTTATTACCCTCCTTTAGTCGATATTATTGATAAATGAGCATTGAATGCGCTTTTTAACAATTTTAGTACACACTTGAGTGCATCTGCATCCAGGACACGCTTGTCCACACACAATATTATTTTCATACTTGCGCATGCACAGCCACTGTTCAGCCGCTTATAGCATGAAACAGCTCACAATTCTTTAACTGCTTTGCGAATAAAGACATACCAACGATATCGAGTACTCAACCAGCAGGTATATTTATTTTCATGGGTATATATATATATGTATATATGCGAGTGTGTGTTTATGTATATGTACATATATCTACTTACCTCAACGGATGTGGAGAAGCCACCCGAGTCCTCGGTGGCGGTGACTATCAGTGAGTAGACGTGTGGCTGTCGTAAATCCTCGAAATCCAATTCCTTCGCCAACTTAACAATACCCGAGGACGGACCAATGTTGAATGTACCAGCACCCTGCCCTTGCGCTTTTAATGTGTACCGTATTTCTCGATCCGCAAAAGATTTCGCCTTCACCGAGATGATGCTGAAAGAGAAGAAAGCATGATGTGGTGAGGTGGGTGTGCGAAAGTAGCTTAATATGTATTTATAAATAAGTATGTAAGATTGTATAATAATTTTAATATTTGTTGCAATGTTTTTCCCATCAGCGCACACAATTTTTGGCTACAAAAGTGCGCATAAAATGGAAAATAAATCGGGAAAGTGCCAGCACGCTGAGTGACGCTGACAACATTTATTCAAGCATACATGCTTACATATGTATGTATATACATACATGCTGTACGCTTTATTTTTTCTAGGTGTGCAGAACTAGTTGTAAGTAAGTGTGTGTGGCTTCACTTGAATGTGCATTTGTGTGCAAACATTTTTTTTTTTATAATTCAGGATATATCTCTATGTGTCCTTGCGTTTACATATTTCATTTCATATGAAATGCCATTTGACAGTTGTTTTCCTATCGGAATTTCAATGAGCCGAGCTTTAGTCTGTCAGTCGTACCCGTTCGCTCGGCTCGACTAACTGCTGCTCAGCTCACGCGCTCCTCTTTCTACGGTTCAATTTGTTTTCCTGCACATTTTCGTCTTGCACAACTTTATTGGAATATAATTTGCATATTTTATTATATCCTGCATGAAGGCGGTTCGCTAGGAGTAAAACGACTTTATSTATATCTCCATCCTTATGTAAGCGTGTGTGTAATTCTACATAGGTAACCTGCAGTGAAACATCAAACAAGAAAGGAAGATTGCACAAACAGCATAACAAGGGGCAAATTGCCTGATTATATTGTTATTAACGAAACTTGATTTCTCTACATATGCACACTCTATGCTTTGAAAGCATTTATAGTACACACATATGTACTATGTAGTATGTATGCATGTCTGCTTGTAATTTGTTCGGAAAATGTGTATATAGCCAACAATATCAAGATTAATTGCTTTTATTAAGTATTGAAGAGCTAGTGGTAATTGTAAAGCCGGTTTACCTGCTAAATTTTAGTGACCATTAAAATTAYATTAGAAATATAGAAAATATCTTTAAGGTCCAACGCAATAGAAAATCTTTTTTATTGAGCCTCCCATCAGATGGCGACGAAAACAATAGCTTGATTATCTCTATCAAACATAATTTACATATGTAGATAACCTTTACAACATCAACATTAAAATGTTTTACCTTTCATTCRATTTTAACAAATATAGATTATTTATTATTAAAATCTGCCACCTATAGACCTCTTCGCTGAAAACTGCGCAGCAAAATTGTCGGAACGACTACTGCCTGCAGGAGATTTACCATATAGAACTTTCGTGCAGCTCGGGTGGGTAGTGGTGGTTTGGCAAGTACCCATTACATGATCCCAATCTTCAACTGGGAATGAAAGCTCAAAGTAAACATAGAAAGTGATCGTTGACGTAAAGGTATGTTAGCTGSACGCAGCATTCCAATCATTTATACTTTTAAATTGCCGGATCACTGCAATATATTTCAAGCTGAGGTCTTTGCCTTCACTTCTACTGSGTGTAAGGTCACAAGGACATCGTGGGTAACATAATAGTGTACAAGAATGTCGAGAATGGTATACGGCTAACACCCAAAAACGTGACCAACATTGGAAAAMMCATGCATAGTCTGTTAAATAYGATATAAAATGGTAGATCGGAAGTACACAAAATTTCTATTGGCACTACATATAAGAGACTCTAAACAAATGATCGGAATACTAACTRGTCACTGTGTGGTGGTGACCTACRCCTGCAGCATGGGYYTGACAAATTGAGAAGACTGCAGAAAATGTCTAAAKGGAAACAAYGGAACATCTTTTGTGCACTTGATCCGCATTGGCAAGACTTCGTTGTCACCACCTGGGGTCGCTATGTTATGATACACTGGAAGAGATATCGATAGTGAGGCCACGCAAAATGTATACCATTGATAAATGTGAACTAAATTTGGAACATCGTTATAAAGTGATTTGAATACGGCAATAAAAATGGCTACAAGAGATAACTCAATCGTTATATAAAGTATCAGTCTTAGTATGTTGAATTTTTCTTGCAAAAATCCATCCATATACAAACTACTACTATCTTAATTTTCTTGGTGTACCCTTAAAGTGTATACAAAGTGATATATTTCGAGGTTCCCCATTTTTATGAAAAAAAAAAACACAAAAACTTCAAATTTAAAAACATTTTTGGACTTTTATATTTTGAAGAATATCCCTTTCAAATATTGGCCGCGATTACTCGGAAAACGAAGTGGAATTGTCCGCAAATACTTTGGACTTTACATACCCCGAAAGGAAAAAGTCAAACCGTCCTGGACAATGCAACGGCCCAAAACGTGAAATTATCTGCTCAAAGAAGTATTCTCTCAATGCCTTTATTGATTGGAGCGATGTGAGGGAAGTGTCACCGTTTTGTTGAAACCAAGTGACGCCGAGACCACTAACTTAAATTTCAGCCATCAAATAGTCGGCGCGATAACGGTCGCCATTGACGATCGCGTTCTCACTGGCATAATTTTTGAAGAAATAAGGACCGGATTTATAGTACGTTCTTACGGTCTACAAACCACACCAAACTAYTTTTTTTTTTCCTGAATGAAATGGCAGCTTCTGAATTTTTACATGTTGCTATTCGTCTAAAATGCGGAAATGTTTCTTATTTACTAAAMCATTGAACAAGAAATGGTCCTYATGGCTGAACAAATTKCGWGCGACKTYAGCTYYTTCACAAGCTGTATTTGACGCTTTTTATTTAAGATCTTGACGTAAAATACACCAAGTCGTTCCATACGTCAGTTGCTGCGAGCGGCACGAATCGACTATTGACGTGACGGTCTTTGTGGAGACTCTCAGCTACGATTGCTACATTTTCTGCTCTCCCTACTGGACGTAGTACAAGATGGATGAGCGATCAGTAGGCCGATTATRTTGACCATAAGTTGAACGAAGCRCTCGAAACACATTYATTACAGAACGTAAGTTTYCGTAATAAAGYTGAACCTTTTGTAAGCGTTGTTCAGCCATGAGTGTTTCCATGATAAAATGCCAAACAATACTGAACAAAAATAATGTGACAACTTGACACGACTCACGAGTGATCTTTCAAAAAAAGTACCTCTATATATCASAATWGGAGTTATTAYAAAATARAGTGGTATATTCTTMTGAATTCTTATAGCTGGAATTGATRTTCCAATAAATTACTTTTCCGTAGAATTTGTGCCTAACTGGTCACTTTTTCTTCTTTAGAAAAAAAGTTTTGATTTATAGACCTCCTCCTTATATAATTAATATTTTGAAGTCAATTTCAATTCATTTATCACTGTAGTCCATTTTATCGCCATAATTTTAAATACTGTCTGATTAAAACTCACATGAACGGGGTAAAGAAATAAATTTGCACGATTTGAATCCAAATATTTATTAACGTTTTGAAAAAAAAAAGCTCCTAAACTAATACTAAACTAATGCCGACGATTAGTCAAATTGTTTGTTAAGCCTCGGCTGAGATGAACTTTTCTAACTTCCGCATTTTGATTCTTTCAGTTTCGACTAATTTTGGAAGCGTCMATACCTAGACTCTTGCACAGTTTCCATGTCATATTCATAAAGTCATGTCTCATTACATCACACCACGTATTTTATGCGGTGGAATATCCGTAAAGCAGGCTTCTTAGCTACGTTCTCAAGCCTGTCTTTTGCGACCTCTACTCGACTTTGCTTTAGGTAACGWTTCAGGTTTTTTGATACGAGTTTGTCATTGGCACACTGCATGTCCAAAATATTAAYAAAAATTCATATGTTAAGTCGATCCGCAAAAAACGTTGAGATTCATCTACTATTTATCTGATGCCAACATGAAGATGTTTGCTTAACTTTTCTCAAAGTTTACGACGACTTCATGAACTTCTTGGAATCAAAAAATCGCGGTCTTCAGTAACTCTTTTCTGAGCGGCAGCAATATTTTCATTAATTCAAGCGGTTATTTGTCTTATTGCCATTTTGAAAATGTACGATCGAAATTTTCAACAATTCGACGAATTGAGAGCAAAAGTGGACGATTACTACGATCATAAAGTGACTATAAGCGCAAGAAAAGTTGCAGTTTAAGAAYGATTATTTTTATAATAAAATGAATATTTTGTAAGCGTTGTTCTTTCATATTTCTCTTCATGATGAAATCGTAAACATTACTTAATACAATGAAAATTGCTTAAAAATGGTCAGAAACGACATTTAGAAATCATATAATCCATATTGGCAAACCCTGTATAACTGGAAAATGTTTTATTATCAGTATAGTTAAGATATTGATATATTAGCCTAATTTTCAAATATATTTTTTACTACTTACTCAGAATCCTTCTTCTGATTCTCCGGTATCTCTGCTTCRTAGCTGGGCATGTAGAATTGTGGTGCTCGTTTGCCGCCCACAATGGAAAGACGCTCCTCAGGTGTGCTCTGGAAACGACGATCATCCACTTTGCCATTTTGATCCTCAGCTTTCACATATAAAACATATTCCATATCCAACTGGAAAAGATCAGTACCACGTGTGCGCACAACACCCGAACGTTCATCCACCTCGAAACGGCCACCGGTACGATCACGTACAATGAAATAATGTATGTTATGATCGGTGTCCGGATCACGAGCTTGTAATGTAAAAACTGGTGTATTGGGCGGAGCATTAAGTTGTACGACGGCTTGCATGGGCAGCGGACGATTAATAAAATATGGTGGTTCATCATTGACATCTTTCACGTGAATGATGACTCGCTGATTGTCGGTGTACTTGAGGTCGGAAACTAAGGCGGAAGAAATTAAGGGAAATAGTTGTTTGTTAGCATATATACTTATATACAATATAATTGCATAATTTTTATATTAGAGATAATCGAAATATTATATTTAAATACAGTAATATTATTAAAATGGTTGATTTMTTTCCCTTTCTTTAAGTCTGCATACCCCAAAATTAATCGCAAAGCAATGTCAATGTCACCAACCAAGTCAAAAGCAAATTTACAACAAAAACTAATTACTTTTTTGTGCGTGACAACAACCCCGTCAATCGCTTCTTGCCGTTACTCTTAACTTTCTGCAAACAACTTTCTATATTTGCACACGAAACTATAATCCTGAGTGAAATTAGTATTATAAACTCCCTTGAAGCCGTACTTACAACTCGCACATACTCAGATTACGCAAGGTCTGCTTGTACCGTAAACACGTGGACATATGCACATCCTTCAAAAGAGTACTCGACTTCTGTGTATCGATTTATAGAAGTGTATTTGTTCTGCAAATCCAACAAAAGCGGAGCAATCCCACAAATATGTATGCGCATATACAGACATACACAATCACTCAAAGAATACTATAGAATTTCGCCAAACGATCTGGGAACTATTCGATTTCACTTAAGCTATTAAAATGCAATGAATTAGAAAAACAGCAATCAATATCAAATGCAGAAGCTACAGGCATCAGAAACGGTAAAACTCCTTCGTGCGCAAATACTTCATTGAACGTGCAACAACAACGCAGCGATTACGTACTAGCTGTATTTGTGTACGTATTTGTACTTCAACACCTYCTCTATAGAYCTGTTTGCAYACATATGTACATATATGGGTGAATGTGTAGGTACAAATGAACGTCGCAAGCAAAGGTACGGCAAAAAAYCAATAAAAGCGACCGCTAGGCAAGCAGGTCCTTTCAATTTACGCAAAAACACAAAGCAGTTATGTGTGCTGTGTATGCGTTCGGTTGTAGCAAAGCATACATTAACATTTGCGTGGCAAACAATAGGCCTATACACCGGAAAAATCCAATCAAGTCGGTAGGAAATGTATCCTCCCAAAAAGTCTACCAACGTAAAACTTGTGGGCAGAATAACCTAGTGAGCACGGAATTAGTTCGATAGGTTAAATGCAAATGAAATTGCAATTCTTGAGAACGATTTAATGAATTATCAGCTGAATAGTTTATGCAAAGACTATGGACAGAAGCATTATACAAAGTATTAGCGGACGTTGRGGTTCGAAGAGCTGCTGTAAATGTTACTACTTGTTTACTGGGCTATGTTGAAATACAATTATTTACATGTTTACACTCATGTTTGCTTTGTAGATAGCTCACAGATCCAAACAAAGGCAACCTGTTATAAATCRCTAAAAGCATTATACCAATTTGTGYAACTGTTTGGAGAAAAATGAAGTGGACAAATTCAAACTCAAAGTAAGAAAAAATTACRTAAAAGGTATACATAAATATTAGTGTATAAAAAATTATTAAAATAAAACGAAAATAGAATCGAATAGGCGTTACACACACTTGAATTCTGCATCAGCGCGTTACAGCTTCAAATTGTGACCTTTTTCGCTATATACTAAGTACTGGTTTTTTTTTTAATGGGCAATATGTTAACTGCAGTTTCAACGAAGCTAAAATACTTCTCACAAATACAAAAGTTTCAGCGCAAAAACTTGATTTTGACAGACTAGGTTGAATAGCAGCTATATGCTATAGTATTCCGTGCCTAAAATTTTTTTGGAGGACTATTCAGTTGCTTTGTAAAACAATATATGAAAAAGTTTTTGAAAAATGTTGTAAACAAAAAATCCCTTCAAGCACAATATTTTGATTGTGCAGTTTTTAAGCARCTGTATGCTTAGTAGCCTGATATGTGTGGTTTCTTCAAATAAGCAGCCTATTGGAAATAAACAAATCCAAAAATTTTAGATCGATATTCCCAGAACTGAGGAACTGGTTTGCGTTTATACAGTAAGACGGACATGGCTAAATTAACTCAGTTTGTCACGATAATGACTTATAGGTTTACATATAAATTACTAAGTATAAAAAGTATTTTCGTATTTTGTCAATAGATGTCGCTGCAGTCGTATCAGTGTTTCCAACCACATTGTGTCATGTCATATAGTGTTGGAAAGGTRAGATTTTGAGCTGCATTTAAAAAAAAATTAAATTCTGGGAAGTTGGAAAAACGTTACTGCTGTTCAAAAAGGAGTTAAAATATTGAAGAAATTCGCTATATTTTGAAACTTTTGTATAAAAAGGGAAGAATACCACGCAAGCCMCCAATGATATTTGTGAAGTTTATCAGTTCGTGTAGCATGGTTTTTTCGAGAAGATTGACCAGGACTGTCACATAAGCAGSCATGATATCGCTAAGGAACTTAACATTCATCATCAAATGGCTACAACTGGCTACAAAAATAAGCTCGATGTTTRKRTACCACAAGAATTGTCCGTTAAAAATTTAATAGACCGGATTAATATYTGCGATTCTTTACYGAAAYGAAATGAAATCRAACCATTTCTGAATCGAATGCTAACAGGAGACGAAAGGTGGATCAAATACCACAATAACGTGCGAAAAAGATTGTGGTTCAACCGTGGTTAAGCTCAAAAATTATCACAAAGCCAAAAGTGACGCCTCGAAAGGTTTTTCTCGTATTCAGTRTTTAGTGCGATTGGAAAGGAATCATCYACTGTGAGCTGCTCCAGCCTGGTCGAACGATTGATTCTACATTTTACTGTCAACAACTGATGGGATGGAAGCAAATAATCGACAAAAACGGCCAAAACTGATCAACAGAAAGAGCTTCGTCTTCCATCAAGGCAACGCTAGGTCACACACATGTTTGATGAGAGAGAGAGCTTGGCTGGGAAGCTTCGATGCATGATGACCATTCACCATTGGACTACGATTTGTTTTGGTCGATGCAGAACTCCCTTAGTGGAGAGAAGTTGGCTTCAAGARAAGCATATGAAAATTAAACCAGAAAAAAGGCAAAAAGTGGGCGACAAAAATGGTACATATTTGTTTATTTATTTATTAGTATAAATAAAAAGAAAATAAGTTGAAATTTGATTGRAAATACGAAAAGTCTTTTTCGACTACCGATATATTTTACAAGGCCTCTGACGGTTTATTTTGAGTGTATTACAAACTTCGTCGCAAACCAGTTTCGACTAGTGGAAATATTTCGACTCGAATCAGCTATCTTAAGMGATTGAAAAATCATTATGTTTTCTGGTTTATTAAGATTTCAAAGCGATAAAAAGAAAATATTCGGGCGCGTCACTAAAGKGATGTTCAGCGCTAGTTTTAGAGAATTTTTAGATAAAATTTTGACAAGCTKTAGAGTGTGAYCCAGAATAACTGTCACTTTTTTGCAGGAAAAAATTGCCTTACAAAATTAAAGACGGTACAAATTGCATATATCAAATAGCAAACTTTTCTTCAATCACTTTAAGATCGGTAATGTGATGGAAGCTGAACGAAAACTCGTGGTAAATTTGTATTTYAAAAATTTWAAAATTGTGGAAATAATTAAAAAGGATAACAGTTCCATAWTGGGAGAAGGTTCTTTTATAGACCCATAATATATCTATATACTTATATCGTATAAAGAAACGGGAAGATTTGAAATAAAAAGGAAAACTGGGATCCGTTAGGACCAAAAGTATCGTAAAATATGTGGATAAGGAAATAGGAGCATCGAAATCATCAATGCATCGGATACTGAAAAATGATCATGAACTCAATGCCTACACGATAGAAAATGTTTGAGATTAATCACAGTTCTTACTCCCACAATTCTTGTAAGTATTGAAACTCAATGACAATAATATTYTTGTAAGCGTTTCATTTCTTTTAGCGTTTTGGGTTTTAATCTCAATTTCAAATCATTTGTCATTGCATGTTTYATAACTAATGTCGGCATTTTGATTGCAGGTAAGTCAACTTATTGATAGCAAGTTTCAATGAGTTTGAGTAATTACGAAGGCTTTCGTTCTAAAATTTCTTTCATTGTAATATAAATCTAAAAACAATCACTAATAACTGTACTTCTTTCCTCACACTAAATATTCCAATTCCGGTTAGACACTGGATTCTTGCCTTTTGCAAAATAAATATGTATAAACTCCAATTCTCTACTACGGAGGCTGCTATATATATTTCTGGCCTAGGCAACACTGACATTTCCATTGGAAAGTTTGACATTTTTTAGCATAACATCACTCAGAACGTTTTGTCATTTAATCGTGAATTGTTTTATTTACAGGGAATTAAAAAATTCATCTCGGCCAAAAAATGGAATTAATTCGTGAACATTTTCGTGCAATAGTTTTTCACAACTTTCGACGTGGATTATCACGACAAGAGTGCATCGATGAACTAAAATCTTTGTATGGCTATGAGGCACCATCCTATGACACTATGAAAAACTGGTACAGCGAATTCAATCGTGGCCGACGCTCGCTCAAAGACGAATT